CTGTGGGCTGGGGAAGTGCCTGGGGAGAAGCCCCCAGCCCCACTCCTCTTCCCACAGGTCGGCTCCGCCACAGCACGAGGCTGCAGCCCTCCCTCCATCTCCCCTCCTGCTGTTCTCACCTGCACTTCTGCCACCAAAGGAAACGTCTTTCACGCTCTGGAGTTTCAGCCCAACCCCACAAAAGAGGGACTTTTCAGGGCCTCCCAGGAGTGCTGCCTTGTCCCTGGGTGCTGCCTGTAACTTGAAGACCTTGTTCTTGTCTCTAGGGTGGCTGGATGGGTGGGGGGCAAGGGTGAACCGGTGAAGGTCAGTGCCCCGGGGAGACCCTCAGGCCTGCTGGCTGGGCAAGTGTCTTTTTTATTTTTTTTTGAGTTGGAGTCTCACTCTGTCGACCAGCCGGAGTGCTGTGGCACGCTCCCGGCCACCGCAGCCTCAACCTGCGGGGCTCCGGCGATCCTTCCGCCTCAGCCTTCCAAGTAGCTGGACCTGAAGGCACGCGCCACCTTGCCCGGCTAGTTTTTTGATTTATTGCAGAGAGGAGGTCTTGCCATGTTGCCCAGGCTGGTCTCGGATCCCTGAGCTCAGGCAAACCTCTCACCTCGGTCTCCCAAAGCGCTGGGATTATAGATGTGAGTCACTGTGCCCAACCTGCAAGTATCTCTTGGGGGGGTGCCCCCAAGCTCAGGTCCAAGTCGCACCCCTGAATTTAGCTCTCCTAGGCATAGGGCAGGTTCTGCATTCTAATTCCCACATGCTCTCTGTTGGCTCGGAATCCAGAGACGTGGGGATTCCTCCTCTGTGCCATCAGCCCAGCACTGCAGAATCTCCATCCTAGAAAGAAACCTGCATTCTAGGAAGCAAGACTCCAGCTCTGCCACTAACTACCGAGCAACCAACCGTTACAAAGATTTCCCCAAGCACCTGCCCCTACCAGGTCGCGGGAGAATTCCAAAAAGAGCAAAACGCCTTCCGGACTTGGGTACCTTACAGTCTAGCGAGGAGGAAAACCACGCTCAGCCATGTCAGAGCTCACCCCAACCCAGCAGGGACACCGGGGAGCCTTTCGAGATGAGGATGCTGAGGCCCAGTGGGAGCCTGCCCTGGGGAAGCAGGGGAGCAGGGTGGGTAGGGAGGGTGAGGACCACCCCAGGAGAGGGCACAGAAGCAGGGAGGCAGACGGACCCTATGGATGCATCGATGAGGCTGAGGGTAGAGGCTGCGACCTCCGTAGCTCAGAGAGGTGCTGCAGGACATGACCTCCAACCCCAGGGCTTGCACCCTGACATCCTGAAGGCCCCACCTGCATTAAGGCCTGAGCCACCCCTTCATGTTGGGGCTGTTTTTTGCAAACTGCTTCTCCTGACCCCAACATCCCCGTGGCCGACCTCCAGCAACAGGAAGTGCTGTCTCTCTCCTCTGCCCCTGCCTCTGACCCCACAGGCAAAGCAGGGATCCTGTAAGAGACTCGGCATTCCTCCTAGGGCTGCACACTTCACTTCAAAGCCGGGCTTGGTGGCTCAGCCTGTAATCCCGTGCCTTTGGGAGGCTGAGGTGAG